TTTTTACTATTTGCTAATGGTATTTTAAGAAAAGGAAAATCTTTTTTGTCTTCCGACGTCATTGTCTACCAAAAACATCTAGTAGTGCTACCTAGCCCCTTTTTAGAAATTGCTATTTAGTTTCGCCCACCAGCCCCCAGGGGGGACTTTTGGGAGAAAAAGAAAACCGGGGCAAAATAGCCAAGCATTTTATTGGCCCAGAAGAAGGAGACTGTGGAAAGCTACTAAAAGGTTGCAGCCCTGCCAAGGACGGAAAACCCTTCGCACACACCCCACCAGTTCCCCTCATTCCGTTTCCGTCAGTGGTAGCCCTTTTCTCAGCCTGAAATAATTGGTTGGTCCGTTACCCAGACTAAACAAGGGAATCAATATCTGTTTAAATTTTAGGGATGCGTTACTCGATACCAGAGGCTATCCCTTTGAAAAAAATTAATTCTCGCCATTTTTTTTGAGCTTTGCAAAAATTTTTCTCACAGGTGGGGATTCCCCGAATAATTTAATCCGATCAAGGTTTAAATTTTACCTCAAATGTTTCGCGGGTGCCCTTTCCCCTCGGGAAAAAATCCCTATTTTTTGTTGCTTACCCCCATCCAAGGAGCCCTCGAACAATTTTTATCAAACATTAAAAACAATGAAGACGTACCGAGCAGTTTTCCAGAGATTTGGGGCGAAGGAATACCATTCCTCTTTTTTCCTTTAAAGGGGAAAACGAACAAAAAGCACTGGGTTTAGTCATTTGAATTTAAATTTAGGCACCAAGTACAGGCCCCCTCGCCGTAAAAAAGATTTTTGGACAGGAAAATCCAACCCCCTTAAAACAAATCCAACCTAATGCAAAAACGTTTTTCCAAAAGGGAATTAGCCTCAAAAAAAATTAGCTAGGCCCCCAAACCAAAAAAAGCATTATTATGACAAAAACACACCTCTCTTTCTTCAAACCAGTGCCGTGTGATAGCACAGAAAAATTTTTTACCGGGGCACGCTCTCAAACCAGATACGAAGGTCCTTTGGAAGTGATTTAGCGGGGTTAATGAGGGAAATTATGTACTACAAAACCCCGGAAAGAGAAAACAAAACATCTTATCCCAAAAACCAACTTTAAGGCTTTCCACCCTATACTACCAGTTTCGACAGTTTTTTTCCTTTTGCGAAACTGAAAATGGGAAATCCCCCCCAGCACTTAAAGGAAGAATACGTTTTAAAAAATTTAGAGACATTTGCAATCTCTTGATCCTTTTTTATGCCCTTTATTTTAAGAAAGCCAAAGAATCAAAGACTTGATATTTTGTTATGAGGGGTTTTTTCGATGAGCCCTAGGTGTTGTACATTGGAATTCACGACATAATGTACAAGGAGCAAAGCCTTGCAAACAGCACCTTATAGGGCAAGTCCCCCTCAAACAAGAAACTTTAAAAAAAGAAGAGAATTTTTGTTGTCCCATGGACTCTAGAACGAGAAAATCCCTGGGCCTGCCCTTATATTTGTTTTCCAAACCTTGGGAAATTCAGAATGTGCCTGATTACGTAAGGTTAATCTCTCCCCGTACCAATGGTTTCTCACTACCCCCCTATTTATATCTAATAACAAGTATCAGGGGCCGCCTATTTACCCGCCTTGGATTATTAAGGGGTTTCTAGTGCTGCTTACCCAGGAGCCCAAGAAATATCCCCATTTCTAACAAGGTGGATTATTCAATTTTTGGGTTTTTGCCCTTTAGGTTGTTAACCGGCCTCTACCTTTTTAGCCCGATAACCCTGACCAATGTTAGAAAGGGGTGGATGCTTCTAGATGATCTTTTTAAAAATATAGCAATGAGTGGGGGCAACATTTAATTCACCGGAAAACCCTTTTTAAAATTAAAAAATCAAACTTCCACCATAATTTAGCCAAATGTCAGTTTGGCAAGCCAAGATTTAAAAACCCGGTTTTTGTATAGGGGGGGGGGGTATGTCCCCGTTTGGGAAAAAAATGGGGATTGCCGTTTCCACCCCCCCAAGATAGAAAAGTCTAAATTTTGGAAGGGGGGTTATTGTGTTTTGTCCTTTTTTAGGTTGCATCTCGTTTACTAGTTTAAACCCGTATAAGATGAAGTTTTGCTGGACGAAAATTTTGAGATAGCTTTTTTTTTTTCGTTTAAGCGGTTGTTTCTTTTGTCACCCGTATTTAAAAGTCCTGCTTTAATCAACCCTTCTATTTACCATCGATCCACGGTTTATGCTGTGGGGGGGGTGTTTCTTTAGAAACCCCCCCCACTGATATTTTCATCCAATCTTATTTTTTTTTCAAAATTTAAACGTCACCAAAAATTACGCCACTGTAAGAAAGAACTCTTCCTAGTAAATACCGGAACTTTTGACATTTTTTCTGGGAACCCCCCCCATAAAAAATTTTGGCATTTTCCCGATCACAACCCTTTTAAAAATTTTATAATTCTAGAAATCAAAAAAACCCCCCGAAAACCTAGGGGGGCCGAGGGATTCCCAAACCCATCTGATTAGTATTTAAACCTTTTAATGGACCCTTAACTTTAAATTGCTGATGCCCCCTTTTTCACCCCGAAAAAAAAAAAATTGTATACCTAAAATTAAAGTTAAGAAATATACTCTCAACCTAATTTTTATTATATTATATATTTTTGTTAATGATTTTCTTTTACATTTAAGTATGACATGAAAGCCATTTTGTTTATGGGAGATTATTAAGTCCACATGGATACCCTGACAGTCATGTCCGAACTCCATTCTCGAAATGAAGGAACCACTCCAGATGTTCCCTTCCGGCCCTTGTTCCCAAAGCTCATCCTCTGGCAAATAAACCCTGCGAAACAGTTATTTTTTTCTCCATTCTTCCGTCAACTAATGCCTTTTTTACCAAAACCTTATTTTAAAGGAGATATTACCAAAGGGCGCTTTCAACTCCCTGCTGCGACCTATTTCTACGGGGGGGGGGTTATTCTCGAAATTGGCATCCTGTGTTATTTAACTATTTTTAAAAGAAAAAGTTCACACTTAAAATTATAGCGCGAAAGTCCCCCAAAAGAAAATAGAGACTTTTTGGGGTTAAATTTATTAATCTGTTAATATAAAAAATCCTGTATTTTCGTTTTTCACATTATCCATTACACATTTTGTTATTATTATCACATTTTTACTATTTTTTTGTTAGGTAGGGTTTCTTGTGTATATAAGTAGATTTTAAATCCGGAACCACGGTGAATTGTTCAATTGGGTTTTTGTCCGCGACTGCGTTTGGGGCAGGTGATCCCAAACCGAAACGCTCAACGACTGGCAAGTAGCATCTGCTCCCTCCTAGCCCGACAACTATCGATATTGGCCTTAGGGTACAGTTGAATGGTTTTGAGAATTGGGCTCTAAGCTGACTCACTTTTTCCCAATTTCTTTGAAAGACTCTTTTGATATTTATATTCTTGTCATCAGAATCCATAGAATACTTTAAAGGGCCCAATTCAAAATCTTTCCAAATCTTGTCCTTTTGTATTTTGAGTTTAGTCTTTTTAAGACAAAACGTAAATGTTATTGAAGACTGAATTACAAAGAAAATAAACTTCCCTTTTTAAGTGACATTTCCCTGATTTTGAACTAAATGTATATGGGGAAATTTTATTTTACAAAGATTAAGTTTACTTTCTACAAAGAGAAAATAATATTGTATTAAATACTTTTTAATAAATTTTAAAAATTATTTTAGGAGTTTTTCCCCTAAATTATTTTCCCCCCAGACTCTAAAAATTTAAAAAACTCGGATCCAAAAATCTTTTGCTAAGAAATGAATGGGAAAAGGGCCCCATTCTGAAAATTCTTAAAAAATTTCTTATTCCAACAATGGGGAGTCATTTATCGCCCGTTCAAAATCATTGGGTCGGATACATCGGGTAGGCTTGTTTAATCAAAATTTTTTGGGCCCTCAAAAAAATTCTTTGGGGGCTTCGACCTCTCTGGTTAGCGGCTTGCTAAAAACGAGTCATATGGGGCTTAGTAGCTCCTCATTTCCTTCTGTCATCTGTGTAGGGCCCATCTTTTTTTAAGTAGGGCCCAAAACGGCGTTGTTCTCGATTTTGATTTTTGGGATAGGAGAAAAAATACTTTGGGTTTCTTTTTGATTTTTATTTTTGGCTTTTTTTTCTTCCGCGATTCCTGACTCCAAAGATTCCTTCACTTAAGTTCATGCTTGCTTTTCTCGACCATGTCCCCCTACCATTTCAGATATATTGACCTCTTTTTTAAGGGCCGTCTGTTTTCTTTTTCCTCGCCTTAAAAGGGGCGCCTGTCTTCATTTTACTTTTATCCTCCCTTTTTTTTGAGAATAAGCCCTTTTGCTACACGAGTGCCACCAAGTTAATCGTTCTAGGCATAAGTTGGGGGGTGTGTTTCTTAGTATTCTTTCCCAGCTTATTTCGGGTTTGGATTGGTTTACTTGGCCCACTTTATTTTTTGTTTTGAAGTTGAATTTTGGGGAATCTCCCTCGGATATCCATTTTGTCGGGGCTGGGGGGTCCGCCATACAGGCTGAACCCCAATTTTGTTGTTATCTATAATTGTTTTTGATATGGTGACATTTCTTATCAGATCATCATTGTTAGTGAAGATGGGGCTATGTATTCTCCAGTCTAGAGGCTCATTTTTGCTGGTTTTAAATTGAATTTTGTGCAAAATTTAAAAGCTCGTGTGAGTGGATTTTTATCAAGCGCCTCCTGGGTTATTACTGCAACACATTTTTTGCATATTCCCCATTTTTGGGGCCCTTTAAGTTTAAAAACCCCCAGGGAAAGGGAAGGGAAACATGGTTTAACAATACCATGATGGGAATTTGTTAAAATTAACCATTTTTTTTTATTTAAAAATCTTCCCCCTCCCCCCCAAAAAAAATAAGAATTTTTGGGGGGTCCAGAATAAGATTTTAATTTTTTTTAACAATTTGTCTTTATCCTTGTTTTGTAATTAACTACAGAATCCTAAACATTAAAAAGTTTTAACAAATTTTTACTGAGAAGTTTCCTATAAAAAAAAAGTAAATTTAAATCAGACTATTAAAATTTTTTCCCAAAGATACCCCGCTCCCATTACTATTTTGGGGCCATTTGAACCACAGATGAACCCCGAAGCTGAAACCCTTTGGGTATGGGGGGCCTACTGTATATTGGTTGCCTTTTTTCACAAAGG